ACTGTATTTTACACTTTATTTTATTACCTATAATTATTTATGTCTCTCACACAGCTATAGATATTGTTCCATACGGGTGGAGGGACAGAAAAAGAGGAGCAAAACTCCAGACTGCAGTTTCCAGATCATGCTTGATGGGCTATCAGGTGTCAGACAGCTTGGAGAAAGAGTAAAATGTCAAGCCGGGACAGCAGTGAATAACTGAGGATATAGACTCTTATTTTCAGTCAAAAGCAGCATGCTTGAAATCTTATAGCACAATGGCCTAGAATAAAGTTACAGTTGCATAAATACTATAGATTGATGCATTTGATGAAAAAAAGACACTGACTAAGTATATAAGGTATAATGCAGAATAAGTCCTTGGCTCTGAACTTGATCCCCAGTGGGTAAAAAAGAAGCACTCAGCTTGTAGAGAGGCATATTTTATGTTAGCAACCTTTCAGCTGAAAGCATTGCTTTAAGATATGAAATACACTACCTTAGCATTGGACATGTAGCCGGAGAACTGACTTTGAAAACTGTGAAGAAATGCAGCATGTAGTTTTTCCCCTCAACATATTGTGTGAGAGGAAATTTGACTGATACTTAAATATAGCTCTTAATAATAATGAGAAGGTGTTTCCACTAAATGTGTTTTTTATCCTATGCTGTAGAATATACTTAAAGGTGCTGACACTGTTACAAAAACAAAAATCAAGTAAAAACTTGAAGCATGTTGCACTTGGAGGAAAAGCTTAGAAAAGCAAGCAGAACAGAACTTCATAGGGAAAGGAGGGCAAGAGGCACCATTGTTAAAAGCAACTTTGCAAATTTTGTTTGAAAAGAAGTAAAAAAATGATTAGATTTTGCTGCTGAGGCTGCACAGTGTATAGGAACAACTATGTCCTTTTTCTGATACTGGAACTCCAACTGCTAGAGTCTGCACAAGGTATAGAATCATTCTTTTTCTTCTTGTGTGGATTTCTTAAATAGATTTTTACTCATACTTTGTAATTAAAAGACAAAAGAAAAGAAGTGTTTTAAATACAAATCTGTGAATTCTACTGAAACATCACGAAGCTGTTGTGGTGCAGCAGGATACAGGCAGCCTAGAATATTCTTCTGGGGTTCCTTTTTATATATTTCTACATAAAGCTTATGCTTAAACCATGTATATGTAAGCTTTAATCACAAAGCAAAAAAAAAATCTATAAAAAATATAAGCCTGAAGCAAACTCATACATTTATTTCTTCATGCTTTAAGGAGGAAATAGAGAGTCAAATAATAGCTGGTCAAATTCCAAGCATGTTTTTTGGTCGCTTTGTATTCAAGGCTAACTCATTTTTGACCTGGGTTTAGATCAGGACTTATGACCAGAAGCCTCACTCAAATGTGATATTGCATGAGAAAAAAGGAATATATGTTCAGCTCAGAAAGGAACAAGTCTTTAAAAACAGCCTTTTTGAATTTTTTATTAACTCATTAAGTGTAGACTTTCATGTCAAGTTATGGATGACTTATTTCTATTAAATAGTATTAAAAGTCCTTCACATGTTTCAATAAAGAGAGAACAAACAAAAACAGCTATAGCATTTGAAATAAATAATTAAGGAACATTTTTACATTTTTATTTTCTATTCTCTTTAGTGAAGAAAGATTGTTTTTAAAAAAGCCTTTCTTGACAGCCTCTCAAACTGTATTAAAAGTAGCACTGGCTGTTGTTCCTGGGGAAAAGAGAACTTGAATTAAGGTTATTTGGAGTTGCTGCTGTTGTAATTGTTTTCCTTGTGTCAGTAAAAGACGGAAACAAAAGCAGAAAAGCCAGTAAATGTAATACATACAGTCTCTTTCTTTAGTGCCAACTCTAATATGCAATTTGATTACCAAAAAAACATGGTCCCATTATACCTTGTTATTTATTCTGTGGACTGCTCAGCTAATGTTTGAGGCCATTTAAAACTCTGCCGTGGTTGCCTTTCAGTCCTAGCCATGCAAAAGGGTTCCAAAATGTTAGGTTAGGTTGCCTTGGAGATTCTTTTAGGTAGATATGTACATGGCCTTTTGCAGACAAGGTGAAACAAGATATACTACTGGAGGCTTATCTTCACACTAACGCAGCTACATGCTTCCCCCCTCGGAGCTTGCTTGAGTCCTGCTGATTGGAATACGGATACATTTTTTTCTTCTATAGGAGACAACAGAGCAAATACCTGGAGACATATAGGAGAAAGATATATAACCAAGAATGATAACAGCAAGTTCCAAAAATCCCACACTGAAGCTTTTATTCAACACTTAGCCTCCTCCTGGCCTGATTTTATTAGGATAATGAAAACTTAACAGCATCTTAGTGTATTTTATCACTCCAAGAAACAGTAAGGTGGCTGCTGTCATAGTAAAGCCTACCTTTTCCTGTTTAAGGATGCAGATAAATACTTTATCAGAAACTGGGAGCTCATTAATTTATATCATCCAAAAGATTAAAAATAATTTCAAGAGTAAGCTCATCCATCTATTTCTAGTGACTTTTGCAGACCCTTGCATTATTTTAATTTAAATAAGCCAATTTATATTTTTCTACTTGTCACTGACTTTTGCTGACTTCATAAACAAATGCAAATAACAGGCTGAGTCAGGCTTTTATTTCTTTGGACAGCTTGGAGTTGCTGGCTCTGGCCAGTGATGGCTTGAGGTCTTTAATGGACAACTTCATGGAGGGAATGAAATGAAACAAATGGTGTGCAAACCGTCAGGGTCTTCTGGGGAACCGGTTTTCCTGATCTTCAAACTTCAGAATTTCTTACCAATTTAAGAGATCTTAATTCAGAATCTGAAATTCTATGTCTTTATGAAATTAACCTACATTTATACAAATACAGTGTTTTTCTAACTGGATTAAAGGATTTTGTTTCTGCATCTTAGCAAGAAAAAAAATTGCACGTTTTTATCCCTTTGGCTTGCATAATATTCTGTATTAAGCCTCTTCTCTAAAGATGTTCAGCTTCAGGGGCCTTGTCCATCAGCGTGAACAGACTTTTTTATAACAGGGAAAAGTGGGGTGAACACATGTGAGATATTAAATTTTTTTCTAGTGAAACTGCTTACGTCACTTTAGTGTTCAGTATCACTGGAAAATACACATTTTCTTTGCCTACCCTGACTGCAACTGAGAAGTGTGTTTCTCATTTCTGAGAGAAAAATATATTTGGAGCCATTTATATCATTGAGTTACTTCACTACTGGGTGACTGACGTGCAGATTAATGATCACAGTGAACGAGAGAGCTACAAGAGAGACTGGACGTTCGTTCTGCCTACAAGTCTGACAGCCCCACTGCATAAATAGTTCTCCTGTGTCATTACCCAGGAGTGAACTAAAAGTCAGGCCAATTTAAACAGGATGCAGCAGCAGAGCCACCACAGATGTGCTTTTGCAATCCTGAGACTCCCATTTGCAATAATTGCATGCTGACCCGCATTTCACAGAAAGTCCTCTGGACTTTATACCAGCCATGGGCCACACTTTAAACGTGCTAGGCTAGTGCTATTTTTAAGGTTTTAGCAGCCTGAGAAAACACTGTACTGCTGGTGCTGAATATCTCCAAGGATGGAAAAGAGCAGTCTCTTCAGCTCAAGGCTAATGATAAAAACGTTTTGAAAACCAGACAACTTCTTTGCATTTAGTCTTAAGACAAGCTCTGGAAGGGAGCAGAAGAGGGCAATGGTCATAGTAAATGACCTTCCCTTCGGCACGCTATTTCAGCTCTGATGAAGGCAGATTTTATATATTATCAGCTAGAGTCAGTAAACTCCTGGAGCACAAGTGACCCACGGCAAATGACCCCCGTGCAGATGAGGCTTTCCTAACAGAGGTGACTGAGGCGAACGCCTGGGCAGCTCATCCAGGTGTCACCACGCATCAGACAGGCAGTTTATTGCAGGTACCCGGGGAAATCCCAGGCCAAGGCAGCTGGCTGAGGCCTCGCGGTGAGCCCGACAGCAGCCCCCAGCCCAGGCCTGCGCCACGCGCAGCCGCAC